ATTCGTTCTTTTATAATTTTACATCGAAACTTGGTAAAAAAGGCCGAGAATTAAGTTACTGACTTTTAATAAATAACAGGATATGTGTATAATGGATGACTGTGTGGTTCAATGATAATAGGAGTTTTTTAATGTTTCAATAATTTATATAAAAGTGTTACTTGATATAAAAATATGAAAGAGAGAAACAGACAGAGAGAAATAAAAGATATATACATATGTCTCTTACCAACATTGTTGTTGTGTGTGTAGACATTTTCGTTCATCAATAAAAATACCGGTATTCCATGTGTTATTTTTTTTTAAATTCCTTGGAATGAAATGTCACTCAAAAAGAAAATAATGAAAGAATGAAAATAATGTCACTCCTTTTTAAAAAGTGAAATATTTTCATTTTCCTCTAAAAACTATATTTTCACTTTTTTGGAGTGAGATTTCACTCCAAGAACTTAAGCGAGTTGCTTATTTACTTTAATGAAAAATAAGCAGTACTTTTGTATTATAGCTACACAAAAGAAAAATTTCCAACTTTTTATTTTTTTGATTGTGATTTAAAAAAAATATATTTTATCATTATATTCAAAGTAATTATTGAATTGCATAATGGTATTTAAATTTTATATTAAATTACATATTTTCGAGCGTATTTTATAATATAAATAAATGAAATGGAAGATCTCTCCTAACAGAAGTAATTAATTATAATTGTCAATTTTAGTATTTTATAATAATGAGTTTCATGATTCATGATTAGGATAATTTTGCAAAACAGGTTTTTCATTTTTATAAAATATATATATACCTATGTATGTATTTGATATGAGATAATTATTTAGTTTAATAAATTATGATGTATGGAGCTTTAAAAACATTTTCTATTTAAATACAAATGCGTAAACGTATCACTATTTAAATTTTTTATGTTTTTATCATAACGTGTTAGAATAAAGTAATAAAAGGATATATTTAGCCGTATTTCGCAAAAATGATTAACGATCGAAATAATAATATGTTAAATTACATTCATTTAATGAGATTATACGAAATTATATTGAGCTAACTTTTTAACATTGAATCTGATATTTGTCATTGTTTAATTATCGTTTTTTAGAAAATCATTTTTACACGGTCGTTTTCGTTCGAGAGCTTGCAATATTAAAAACTTTACAAATTACCGTGGCTGAGATCCACAGTTAAATCCACCACCCTAGATCGTAGATTACAGCAATTGTGGCGGAGAGATAGGAACTCCCCCCCCCCCTCCCCCCCGGTGGCGGTGGTGGTGAGGGTGGAAATACTAAGGAAGAGAGTCTGGGGCTGTTCGGAACACGAAAAGAATCCACGGGAGGAAACGCGCGGATCGTAGGGAGTCCAAATACACGGCGGGAGAAAACATAGGGCCACGTTTCGCCATACAATACACGAATACACACGTACGTGCGCGCGCGACGTTGCGCGCGTGTGGCACGTTTTCCTTAGACTACAGTCGTGCCGCTTTCACGCATATATACATGTACACACGCGCCCCCGTGCGAGCGCGCACGCACACACCGTACATACGTATGCACGAACATATGTACACATTCACACGTGCCACCTACACGTACCCACGTGGGCCACACCGACGCATAGATTGCATACTTATGTCGGCACTGTTAAAAAGGGGGGGGGGGGGGGGGGAGGGGGCGCGCGCTCTCCTTCGCTGCCGCACAAGAATAAGAAACACGGTAGCATACATAAACAAGAAGGTTGGGGATGCAGCAATTTAAAACGTACCCCGGAATTCCTCCCAACGGAGTCGTAGAGCGGCCCTCCGTATTACGAATTCCTCCCCGCCCTGCCGGTGTCCTCCTGCATCTTACTGGGAATTTCGGTCGTATAAAGTGGTACTATGGGCGCGAGAAGCCGTGTATTAGCGGATATATCTGTCCGACGATCGCTACCTGAGATCCCTCGATCGTGGATTTCGATGACGTGTAATCGGTCGTACGCCTGACGGGAGGGTTTCTCTCGCGTGTATCACCAATATAGTACCCGCGAATGTGAATGAATTCGAGTAAATTCAGTTTTTCTTATATAGAAAAAATAAAAGTATTAAATGGATGGAACCGTTATGAGATTAATTAACAGCAATTGGAATTAAACAGCAGCATCTTACTTCTCTATAAGCACAAGGTGTATTTAGATCATTTATTCACATTAAGAAGTCGCAATGTTGAATCAGATGTAATTTATGTCGTTTAACAGAATCGTAAGAAATGCGTGCATATATTATATTTTTTGGATAAAATTTTTATACGCGCGGAGCTTTATAAATATTCATAAATAACGCACAAAGTAGCTCACAGCACCATACACTTGGGACTGAACATATCGCAGAATAGCGTTCACATGGTACGTGGAATGCAACAGTACTGAAAAAACGAAAAATGCAATAGATGTATAGAGATATTACGCTTATTATATCTACAAGAAACGTATACGATTTTTAAACAACTTTAATTTATGATCTCTAAACAAGTTAGCCTATTTTTTATACAGCACGATTAGTTTTACTTTCAGAAATAAAAATAAATAATATTCTCTTGTTCTCTAAAACAATACTCAAAGTATTTATAAATCTAAATAATAGATAGTAAATGTATTTATTTTACAGAAGATTAACATTGTAATATCAAACATGATAAACGTTAGCAAATTTTGAATTTCGTACTTTTGTTCATTGTTTATCGAAGCAAAATAGTTTACGTCAGATTAAAAATATGTAGAAAAATTTTTTTAAATTTATAAAGTGCACACACATGAGATACTTTATTAGAAATTTTCCTTGTATCATTCCCAACGATACAATCTATCGATATGATTACTGACATGACATAAGGGGTAAATAGGGGTGGGGGGTCTTAATCATAGCGCTCGCAAAACTTAACCGAACAATACCGGCACACGAATATCCTTTCACGCTATTACCTATTATAGAGATCAGCGCCAGCATCAGCACGGATAAGTCAAATAACGTTAACAATGGAGAATTTCAAGTTACTTCAGCGTTGTGAATCGAGCGATTGAGTGTTTGAACGGCGGTGTCGCCTCGGGCGGCTGTGTTTGCAGATATATAAGGGACTCAGGCCGGGGTCTCGGCAAGTTGGGGGAGTTCAATTGGTGGCAGCAATCCTAGTAATGTACCCGTGGGGCCGTGTCAAAGTGCTCTCTGCAAGAGCACGACGTTGCATTCTGCATTCTACACCTTCATTCTTAGGAGTGAGGAACGGGGTAGGTAGACGGAGAATGGAAGACGGAGCGAAGATAGGAAGCGGCGACTCCTATTGGAATCCACTTGTCCTTCATCTTTCGACTTATCGATAAGATAACAAAGATACCTGCGGGAAATGAATAATTTAAGAGAGTTGACAAATCGTGAATATTTGAGCGGTGGAGCAGAAATTCAGTGAAGGGGGCAGGGTGGAAACGAGGCTTTTCGGATACGAGCAGCTGTAAAAATGTCTGACAGAATATACGTATTGTGTTTGTACGGACGACTACGCGAATCGAGGGCGATGTAGGTTTCTGATGTTTCGCGAATAATTCATATAAAAGGTGTTACTTGCTAAAAATATGAGAGAGAGAAAGAGAAGATATTATATACGTCGTTTATATACAGAAAAAAAAGTTGTATCTCGTTTACATACAAATCACTCGACTTGAATGGAGTAATCGATACCACCGTATGAGTATGCATAATTTGATTTACTGAAACGTGCCCAGGAGTTCTATATTGCATATTGGAGTTCGATCGAGCGTGAATATGGACCTCTCCTTATATAAGTAAGGACTGTTATAAAGATGGAAGAGAGAGAGAGAGAGAGAGAGAGATGCAATCTTTGCAATAGCCATTTTCTTATTCCACGAAGAGATTACTCGCCGCGGTTAATGGCTCCGCGCGAAATCTGGTGATTTAATTGAATGTAGGTAGCGACGACCGTTGGCATACATTTTAATTCTGCAGACGCGCGGCGACGAATAGGCCTTCAGTCTTTTCGCACCTCTACGCCCCGACGACTTCGCTTTAAAAACCAACGACTAAATAATGTATATCACAGTGGCGAGAGCGGGCGGTAAAACAGTTATAAAAACACCGGCAACTACGTTAGGATCAATTATTTAGGATGTACAGCTCCGTAAAGAGAGAGTAGACTAGTCGTAAAGGGGGCGGAAGAAAGTAGCGCTCCTAGGACGGGTTTGACGGGAGAAGAGAGAGGCGGAACCTGCCGCGGGAGTTATAAAGGTTGCAGTTAAAAGTTCCTTGAATTATCAAGGGATTGACTAGCCAGTGACATACTAGTTGACGACTTATTTTAAAATGACACGCTGAAATTTCAATTTCGTGGTATCCACTATACGGTCGAAAATTGATTCCATTTCTAATTAGTTGCGAATTGATACCTTTTAATCTTCAATACAACTGATTTAATACATGTCGATTACTATTAATATGTTGCGAAATAATAAATCGGTCTTTTTTATATCTAACTTTTTTATTTTTGTATATAATACTTATAAGACAGGTAAAAGAAGAAAGGAGGAGGAGAGAGAAAAAGAAAGATTATTTAAAAGTATAAAAATAAAGATAACGAGTTTATGTATATGTGTGTGTGTGTGTGTGTGCGTGCATACACACACACACACACACAGTACATACATATATTCTTTTATTTGATAGAAAGAGGTTCATTAGACGCACACACGTGCGCGCGTACGAACACATACATTTTGGGTTATGTGTAAAAATTCTCTTTTTTTAATTTGATTTTATAGAAAAAGGGAGATTAATTACATTTATTGATAAATTAATAATTAACATACTTAAGAAGTATCATTTCACAGAGTTTCCAAATACAATATAAACCAAAGTCTGTAATACGTTTGCCACTGCATTAGTATACACTATATAACTATACAGAATTATATGCAATATATTCTTAAATTTTGAATGTCTTTCTTTTCGATTTTTATTAATATGCTGCGTTACATCTGCATAAAAATGTTAATGTCTCGAGATCAATTGAAGTAATGAAAAAGTTTGTCGTCAACGGATCAAAGCTACCCTGCATAAATTTCTGTAAATTATTAGAGAGGACATATAATTTACGAGATTCATTATCAATAGCTATATCCTGAGGAAAAACCAATGTTGTATTGTCCTGGGCCACCAATTCTACAAACAAAAATTACGCATACTTTTAACATGTTAAATACGAATTTATAAAACAATCTAATGATTTATTATAATTATTTATTTGTTGAGTTTCATTATTAACATATTTTTAATTGTTTAATTGTTTCTCTTAGAAAAGCTAAAGATGATAAAGTATTGGAACGGAAGTTATATGCTTTGCTACCTGTGGACTTTAGAGACATCTCTGATGAAATATATGAACTATATTGTAGATTATTTTAATATAAAACTTTGTCTAATGATACAAATGGCGTGAAAAATATCTTTATTATTTTTAAAACATTATGTATGCAGGAAATTAATGATTAATATTATAAGTTAATAAAATATATATTTTGTAAGTTAATAAAATTTAATAGAATATTTTATTATATAAATTTTAGCTACTTGACAAAAGTGGAAAATAAAGAAATTGGATAAAAAGTTAATTTGATGTTAATATATTATTAAAAAATAGATTTATGTATTCATAAATGAGAGTGATTGATAAGCATTTTATCCTACAATACTTACTGAATGTTTCTGGATTCAATTCTACCGTCATATCCCAACACGCGATACCATTTCTGTTTACTTGAGTAAAATAATTAATACATGTTTCCGGATCAATAATAGAAGATGGTCCTTGAGTCAATGGTCCCTTTGTGCCGACAATATGGAAATTATTATAGATCTCTGATTTTTTCGATTCATTGTCCTGCAGAATATCTGCAGGCACAGAAAATTCTGTAATACCGGACATGGAATGGAAGTAAAGTATTCTACTTCCATTGGCGTAAATCGGTGACAACGACATTCCAAAAACGCCATCAGTCCATTGGAAGTTATAACCGCTGATACTGTAATCACCTGCCAATAATGGCTAGAAACAATCAAACATATCAAGAGACAATAAAATAAACTTTAATGATATTTAAGAGTCTCTTATTTTGTCTAGCCTTATGTGTGAAAATGGCTAGATTAGTTTTTTGACTAATGACTTGAAGCTCCCATATGAGGAGGAGACTTTCAAAATGCGTTTCATTCAAAATTTATAATTTTCAGAGAACGAGCAAGAAAGCTACAAGCAAATCACGCGTCTTATAAAAAATAACAATTTGTCAATCGGTGAGGTGTAAAATGTTAAACAAAATTGCTAAACTATTTCTATAATAATGTTAAACAAATTTTGTTTTTCATTTATTCTGTTTGTCTCTAGTTAAGGGGCATAAAGCACTTCGAATGTCTAGACTTATTTTAACACATAAATAGATGATGAAAAAATGCTTTCAAAACATCGTAGAGTAGTTTCAAATATAAGTCTTTCAACATTGATCATTATGCCATTTCTAACTTAAAAAATTAAATTTAAACAAAATATGCATTTTGGAAGTCTGCTCCTCATATAATCCGTAACTAACTTTTTTTTTACATTACCATTTAATGGATCAAAATGGAAGAAATGGTGATTAATCCGCCAAGAATCGTTCTTTTCCCAGCTATATACCACTAAACCATACTCGGTCAAATCGCTCATATATGCGTATGCCTTATCGCATTGTCCAGGTGGAACATCGACCACAAGATCAGCAATGAAACTCTCCGGCTTTATATCTGTATCCTTCAAGGTATATTGCCGTAAAATCTGCATGGATGAATGTATGCATGAATGAATGAGATAACTTGCAACATATACAATAAATTCGAGACAAAATAATATACAAGAATAGTTTTTTTAAAATTAGTATAGATTGTGTAAATCCATAATTTTTTTTAATAAACGATACCTTATTCATTTTCAAATCAATAACAATAAGTCTCATCGGTCGCACGACTTCGAGGTCCCCTAAAATGTCGTTTACTCCTGTGTCAAGACCCCACATTCGATCACAAGCATCGATTCTGACACGGAATATGTTTACGAGGCTATCGGGTGAACTAATGTTATTTGCTTCAAGATCAGGATACGGTGTTAAGACTGGACTATCTATATAAATAATTAAAGATGATATCTATTATATCTGTTTATCACGAGATATAAGTATTTTGGTAGATTTTTTGCTAAGTGTATGTACACTTAACATTTATTATATCACTCTTGCGCGTGTGTACAATTTGAATTTTTAAAAATTTCCTTAATAAAATGTGTGTATTCTCTTATGCAGATGACGTCTAATGTAACACCTGATTATGAGAGAAACTTTTCATAGCGTTTACATTATATGGTACTATTTTACCCCTTTCCCTGTTTCTTTTTGCTGTATACAAATCTTATAATAAGCATTAAGTATAAATTTGCACGCATTATAAATTTATAACTTTTCTATTAATTTTTTAATCATATATACATACATACATATACATATATATATATATATATAATAAAATCCATGTAACATAAAACATGTGTATTATATACGTATTTTAAACTTTGTGTTTAATTATATTTACTTACGCTCGTCGTCGCTCATTGAAAAGCTATTTAAGGTAGCTAAAACACCTTTTTTCCATCGTGGTACTGTAACGAACATTTTGTTATGCCAAATAGCCAAACCTAATGGTACGTTATTTTCGGGAATGTAATTGCCAGAGGCTTTGTACTCATTTCGAACGGTATCATTTGGAAATTTGAATTCGACCTGTTTCCACGAATAAACGGTATTTAAGGTGTGGCCGGTTGTGATGGTCGAGCAAGCCAGGAACAATAAGTAGAACATATCTGTAAAAAAAATCGACCCAAACAACGTTATTAAGAACTTGACAATTCATGTCCAAATGAGTAGAAAATAACAAATAGAAGTTTTAACATATTACATTGTTACGTTACGATTCTTAATTATAATAGATTTAACAAATAAACTTTTACACTTGCAAAAATTATTTTTGAATGTGTATACATTTAATAAAAATAATTCAGAGATATTGAATCATTTTTAGCGTAATCTTTAATACAATGTAAATTAAGATATAAAGCTATCTACAAACAGTAAATAAAAGATTGATTATAATTATAAAAGTTTTTATTAACTTTGATGTAAACTTAAATGTTAAGTATGTAGCACTCAATTGTAATATGAACACAAGTGACTATCATTCTTGAAAATATCGAAATTCAATAATGTAATAGATATAATCCTTTATAATCACTACAAGATATATCATTAATACGAAGATGATTATATGACAATGATTATGTGTGTGTGATAATTAGAAATACATATGCATGTGTTAACTGCCAGGAAATGCATCGATATTTATATAATACGTAATTTTATGAATATCTATGTTTATATAATATTTAACGTGTTGTTTATTGTATTTAAAATTGATTCAAGATCTCAGAATTATTTTTATTAAATGTATACACATTCAAAAATAATTTTTGCAAGTGTAAAAGTTTATTTGTTAAATCTATTATAATTAAGAATCGTGTAACGTAACAATGTAATATGTTAAAACTTCTGTTTATTATTTTCTATTCATCAGGACATGAATTGTCAAGTTCTTAAAACAAATATTATATACAAATTACTCTATTTATAAAATTATTTACAATTCTATCAATTTACTTATTGCGCGCGCTATCATGTAGTTGTTGTAGACCATTGAGTAAAAGTAAAAGTTAGACCTCTACGAATTTTATAATATATTCTAGCATAAAATGTTTCGTACGAATTACTTATTAAAAATAAATGAATAATTTACATGAAATTTTTTTATTAAAATATAATAAAAGTTATTAAGGTGTAAATCTTTGTGTTTAGATCTTTGTGTGTTCACATATTGTATAAAAAACTTGGAAGTTTTTACAGTTTTATTCATATAAATTCCTCTCTCTCTCATTATAGATAATACGAATTAATTAATGACTCTTTGTGTTTAAGAGTTTCCTAACAATAAATATAATATGCATATATTACATATATGTTTGTAGATAGTTTTATGGGGCACAAGTGCTTGAATAAATCTGATTCTTTTATGAATAGTTTGAAATTAAGATAAATAGCAGTCATAATAAAAATTTGAAATGACTCGAATCTAAATCTCTGTTTAATTTAGATAATATTTAAAAAATTATATTTATAATATCTGTGTAGACTATTAAATATATTGTCAACTGTACACTTAGCGATAAAAAGTGATAAAAAATTACAATATGTGAATAGATTATTAATACGATATAATACAATACAGTATGTTAATATTAATTATAATGTAAACAAGAAAGTTTATCTCATATTGTTATATTTTTTTATTTAAAAAATATTCACTATTTTATAATTAAAAAAGTTATCAAATTTTTTTCGTTTATAATATAATTTTGATCGATTGTTTAGTCATTCTTATAATATTTTTTTGTTAAATATTATATATAAGGATATTATAAGGATATTGACTTAGAATTTTGAATACCAATGTCAACAATATGCTAATACAAGATAGTGTCCGAATAGTTTTATTTTTAACATTCCTTGCAGCAAGATATAAATATAAGCTATTTTTTTCTGAGAAGAACAGGATCTACAGGTTTACATCCTAATTTATAATACACGTTTTCACATAGAGATACATAAATTATTTTTTAATTATTATAAACATTAAAGATAGAGAATAGAATTAAGTTTTATACATGTTATAAAAAATAATAAAATGTAACTTTTATTTAATTTTACATAAACTTTATTTAAACAAAAATATTATGTTAAATCGTTAATACAGTATAGTTACTTAATATTGAATATTATTATGTTAATATGTGAACGCGCAACGATGTTTGAATCAAACTTACTACAAATTATATGTAGTACGAACTTTGAAAAATACAGAAATATGAAGTAAGAACGACATATGATAACGGACATATTCTTCAGATATAATAATCATAAAATTATAAAGTTTTTCAATTTTATTAATTACCTAAAAGTGTATTAAAGACCTTGTATTACGGATTAAATTACTAAATTTATTTTAAATTTATTTTAAAATAAATTTAGTAAAAGTTTGTCAAAAAATTGTTGTGCAATAAAAAAAGAGATTACTTCGAGATAAGATTTTCAAGAGAAGATTTAATCTAAATTTTGCATTTTGAATCATTAATTTACAAGGATGATTTTATTATTTTAAATATATGGAAAAACAAAAGTTTATATTCTTTACGTGATTAAAATTAAAGTACTCACTGCTTAAACTGATGAAGTAGCTTTCTCTGAAACGATGCAAGATGGAATGACGCTATAATACACTGTGGTATCGGCTTTTATACCTTCTTCCAATCGTAAGTGTCGATAAATTTGAAAAAAAGTCTACATAGTGATGCTGCCGCGAATGAAATATTGGATAAATACAATTTAAATGTTTGACAAGCACATTAATAACAAAGCTATTAATGCTCTTATTCAATTAATTTTAAATACAAGATTTATAAAAAAAGGTTAATTGTTTTTGAATATGTTTTCTATTATGTATTTATGCTAATTTGTTGTGATAAATCTCTTTCCCGTTTATATTTTATTTTTACCCTCCGAAACGCTCCTTTTAACTCTCATTTTTAAATAATTACTAGTTAATAAATTTATTTATATCATAAAGATAAGACATTAAAATAAATAATTATCTTATTGACAAATCAAAACAGGAATGGATGGTTTTATAAATTTAATTTATTAATTATAATTATTGAACAAAATATATTGTTTTATTATAATTATTGATATATAAAATTGTTTTATAGGATTGGAAAAATCACGTTTTAAAAATAACTTAGTACTGTTGTTGTTAATTAAAAAGTAACTTAAAACGTTTAATTATATTTTTAATACAAAAATAAATCAAAAAGAAATAAAATATTTATTTTTTAACATTTTTGTAAAAATATTAATAAAAACAATAAAATTGTTTTGTTATAAAAAATTTTGTTACAAAAAATTTAAAGATAAAAATTTTTTAATGCAAAAAAGAAAATTGTATTTTTCCTTAAATTTTTTAATATATTTAAATTTATATTTTTTTCATTGTTAATCTTACATTAAAAAATTTTAATGTGATAATTTAAAATTTAAATTGTTCTTAAAGTGTATGAAACTACAATATATGCATGTTGTTTATGAAGAGTTACGATGAATTACAAAGGGATATTAGATCTTAATAAATTATTTAGATCACTAACACTTGAGCAATAATTTTATTTTCTCAATGAATTAAACTGTAAATAGGTTTAAGTAAAAAAATACACTTATCATTTATTGTGTTGGTAAAGTTTGAATGGTTCTTTTATTCTTCATCACCGATAATTATAGTTGTAATTACGTCCGCATTGTCCGAAGGTTATCTTTAGTTCCTAGACCAAAAGATTGTAAATACAGCATGTAATAAATTATTCACTTAATTTTATTGAATTGCGCAAGTTGAATGGAAGAATTATTTTGCGTAAAGTGTTGTTCAATTATGAAACAAATATTATTTCTAAGAATTATCCACACGATAAAAAAAAAACCTGGAAAATAAATTTAATATAATATTTATTACAAATGCAATAAAAAATATTTGTTATACATATTTTTATACATATGTATAACATATTACATGCAAAGACGTGGGAGCTATTGATCATTCTGATATTAGATTACTGTATAATGTCTGATATATTTGAAAAATGTAGGAAAACATAATATTGTTGATTTTGAGTTGTATCGATTATTCAATAAATAGACGTTTGTATTTAAACACATGCACACTTTGTCTATTTTACTTAAAACCGTTAATAAATAGAAAATGCTTTTCTTATAAAGAAAAGGAATTTCTATTTATATATGTATACATTCGATGAGAGATCTTACATAATAATTGCGTATACTTATTTATTTGGCAGTAAGAATTTAATACTTGCTATTAACTTTGTCAGAATATCTTGGAAAACGCATCGATATAATTACACATTTTTTCTAAAAATATTTATATATATATTCTCTATAAAATATATGTTTTAAATTATAATATGTATTACGAAAAATATGAGTCAGAAACTTAAGGAATAATAACAAAACTAATTCTGCTAATATTACACGAAAATAATTAATAAATAAATCTTTTAAATATATACGCGCACATTGTTCACATACTTGCTTTATGCTAGTGAATAGCATAAAGCCATACTCGAATAACAGCATAATTAACCATTCAGATCACTTGTCATTTGATATAATGAATACGCACGCGCGTGCATGTATACGTGTGTATACGTGGTCGCGTGTGCGCGCTTTCTCTGAAATATTTCAGACTTCATAGTTGATTATAATTTTTCTTTAGAGCGTTGCTTCTTCTTCGAAATTTCCCCGTTTTTCTTTCAACTTGTGCTTCCTGTGTATGAAAAAAAGCAATGTATTTTATAATTTAAAATAAATTTAAAATCACATTTGGGTATAAATTATAGTTTTAATGAAATTTATATTTGTATTCTATATACGAGCATACACTGAATTATTTTTTAAATAATTCGTACATGAAAAATGCAAAGAACGTACGTCCTAAATATCGCGAATATTTTATCACATGTCATTATTCTATTTACATTATTTATAAAACGACAAAATCTTTCACACGAAATTGATAATGCATAAAAAATACCACGATATATATATATATGTGTATATGCTCATGTCACAGAAATCACTAATATTTGAAATACGAAAAAGTGTGTTTTATAACTAGTATTTGAAATACGGCAATGTCTGTTTTATAACAATAAGAAAATATGTATACAAAAAGATTTGTTTACTTACTTCCCAAATTCTTCGCCATCTTGAAGCGTTTCTGGTAAAGTACATTCGGCAGTTTCAGGCAATAATAGGCATAATGCAGATCCAATCAATGGCAAAATTCCAAATATAATAGGTGGTAGCCACGTTTCAATGTAATTCTGAAATATTACCTACAATTGGTAATCTAGGAAACTTTTATAGCCTTATTAGCAACTGGTGATTTTCGGATGTAAAATTATTATTACGGTAACAATTTACAATAGTTTAAATCTTCACACCACACACACGCACAAATAAGAATTGAAATGTTACTTATTAACATTTATATTTACAATCGACCTTAATTAAACTTACCAAAGATACTACAAATGGTGCTAAGATAGAACCTATTCTGGCACACATGCTACTTGCACCGATTCCTATGTTCCTCACGACTGTAGGAAACAGTTCTCCGGAGAAAAGGTAGACTGTTGTAAATGACACCGACATGCCGACAATACCGAGGCATGTCAAGAGTAGTCGTAACCATGCCATATCTACGAAAAGTGAATAATTATCGATGCACTTAAAAATGATTTATAATTATATTATTATTACTTTAGATATCTCGATTATCGTAAATTTTCTTTGCCACTTAACAATTGAATGAAACTTTTTCGTGATTAGATCATTACACTATAACTAAAAGTTATTGAGAAAATATTAAGAAAAATTTTTATGCAAAACTCATTTCATTGATAATTAAAAAACAAAAGGAGGCATTACAAAAAAACCAACGATAAATTATAATCATGTATAGCAAGATTTCTTACTGTTTGAGACGATGATTAAGAATAGACAGGCCACGCCGCTTATAGAATTGCTGCAAATCAGGGTAATTCGTCGACCCAATGTATTCATTGCCCACCATGCGACAAAATTTCCAGGAATCTGTATGGCACCGGACACTGCGAAATTAATAAAAATATCGCCACCGACCTGGCCAATATACTGCGATATGCCAAACAAACCCATTCCGCAAACGAACCAGTTAAAGAAAATAGAGAGTGACTTTATTCGCATGTTCGGCGTGCGAAGCAAGTCGAAAAACGAAGCCTTGTAATCTAGCGTAGATTTTTTAAGACTCTAAAATATATACAAAAGTAAGTGTTAGACTCATAGTGATGTAATATAGATACTTTAAACATTGTATAATAATTTTTTCTTGAAAATTTTTCTTTGACAATGATTATACATGTTACATATGTTTGATTCTACAATTTGTCAAAGTATTTTAATTAAAAGGAATTATAACTCTTACCTGATATAAACAATGTTTTCTAACTATTTCGGGAATGTCTACATTCTCCACGTTATTAATATTGACTGCCTTCTGCAATATCTCGCACGCTGCCTTCTGTTTTCCCATAGCTAGTAACCATCTCGGTGATTCAGGTATTATCCACCAATAACTTAAAAGGACAATAGATGGAAGTGTGATGGCGATCTGTAGATGTTGCCAATGTCGAAACCAGAATGCGAGTCCTGCCAGTGACATATGGCCTAAACTGAATGGAATTTGATATAAAACGGTGATGGCAGCACGCCATTTTGTACCTACTATTTCCATACCTGAAAAATATATTAAGGAAAATATTTGTAATTAATTTAACTTATCAGCAAAGAAAGATTCAATATAACATTTAAATTGACATTCTAAATATTACTTTTCTTTGATTACATGTTTAATATGTTTTGTAATAAAATAGCTCCTTATATTTACAGATTCGTATTCAAAACGCGCGGCGTATTTATCAGGAGACACGGTCACAGTGGGCGAAGCCGGACAAAAATGGATTTTTAATGTTTTTTTAAAAAAATAAAATTAATTTTTTATGTGTGTGTGTGTGTGTGTGTGTGTGTGTGTGGCTTTAAGAATACTTTAAAGTTAATGAATAACAAATAAAATATGTTAAATGTTGTTAATATAAGTTGATATTTATATTTCTGTATTGTCATTAACGCTCATCTTTTTAGTTTTATAATATAATATTTTTGTATCTGTTCTAACTAGTCATATACAACTAGCTAGAGTTACGAGAAAAAATTCTCAAAAAATTTACTCACATAGCCTATCTATTTATATACCGTATCGATAAAAAGTTTAATACTTTTTGGAATATATTTGTCAATTTTTTATAAGTTAAATAATAAACTGATGTATTAGTTTAATTTAGCATAATAAAAAAAGCAAACTTTCGATTCGTTTTTTAATAAGTTTGACCGATTATGCCTAAATGAAATTAGGATGAATTTTTACCTTAAAGTGTCTTTTAGACTAAGAAATAAATCCCATTTGCCCGTTTTTGCCCGTTAAAAAGTTATTAAAAATTATGATGTAGATATTTTCATGTAAAAAGTTAACACAGAATATCATGATGAGGATCGAGAAAGGTTATTTATGTATATAAAATTGACT